CATGGAGACTTCATACTGGGATATTGGAAGATAAAAACAGTAATGCCTTTGAAGTTCAAAAGGAAATTATGGCCAGGTATGTGCCACTTGCCTGTAATCCAGCCCCAGAGGGTGAGACAAGAGAGTCACACTGGGAAAGTAGAGAAGCAATGTGCGCCACTGACGTGGCTCAGCAGGCAGAGGCCCTTTCCTCCTACACCTGACAACCTGAGATCAATCCCTGGGACACACACAGTTGTCCCCCGACCTCCACACATGTACCCTAGCACACACATGTGCACACATACACAATCAATAAATGTGTAACATTTCAAAAAATAAAAACTGATTGTGGAACTATATTGGCATCTTCCAAGAGAATGAATAATAGTAATAAGTGCTGGTGAGAGCGTGGGGGAGGGGAGCCTTATCCGCTGCTGATGGGAGTGTAAACTGCTCCCTCCGCTGTGGAAATCAGTACTGAGATCCTTCAAAGGAGGAATATAGAACTGCCGTGCGAGCCAGCTGTCGCCCTCCTGGAGCAGTGTGCCAAAGTGACACCCGCATGCCCGTGTTAATAGCCGTGCTGGTCACGAAACCAGGGGATGCGTCCAGCCTATGATTCTGGCAACAAATAAGTGGATAATGAAGATGGGGGACAATGCACAAAGGAATTTTTTGCAACCATAAAGAAAAATGAAAGCATGACATTTGTAGGCCAAAAAAAAAAAAAGAGAGAGAGAGAGAGAGATTGATTGCAACTGGAAGTCATTATGTTAAGCAAAACAAGCCAGTCTCCAAAAGGCAAATCCCATGTGTGTTTTTCCTCATGCAGAAGCTAGATTTGAAAGGGTGTGTGTGTGCTTGTATCACAAAATTAGAGAAGGGATCACGAAAGGAAAAGATCTTAAGGGAAGTGGGAAGCGTAGATGGAGTGCTGGGATCCACAAAAGCTGAAGCAAAGACTAGATGAGGGAGGACCTCACCTAGTGGGAGACGGGCAAATGAGGCCAAAGTGTTCTGTTGCAAATGCGTGAAGATGCGGTAATGAGACCCATTACTTTGTCTACTATTTTAAAGACTTTTAAAGATTAGATTAAAAACTATGTTGACTTAAGCATATGCACATATATACAGCTAAAGGAAGTACTGCATGGCATATATGCGTGTGTGTGTATATATAGATCTATATATGTGTGCAGATGCATGCCCGTGTTGTAATTCACCTCCACTGCTTATTTTTGTCTTGGTGGTGTGTGTGCATTCAGGTTTCTCTATCATTTGTACTTCCCATGTCTTCCAAGGTTCCTACACTAATCAGATGCTATTTTTGTAGTTAAGAAAAAAAACTGAAGAGTTTTGGGGATTTTTGTTTGGTTGCTTTCCCTGCCCCCCTCCCTTTGGCTTATTTGAAGAATTACAGCAAGTGAAAAGAAGAAAACAGTAGCCACATTCTCACACCCAGAACTGAGGCTGCCAGCACTTGCGATTTGCCTCAGCTGTTTTCCTTCCAGCTCTTGTAAAAACATATATAGTTAACACCACTGAAACACTGGTCATCTTTAAGGCAGAGACGTCGCCGGCAGGGCATCTTCTTCCCTTCTCTCTCACCCTTTCCTTGAATTTTCAATGAGAGCTTTCCAAGCACAGCTGTAGACTTAAGCGCTCCCTGTGGTCAGCTGGGCGGCGGGGCGGCTCTGCTTGGGTGGTGTTGCTGTGTGCCCGTTTCCCTATATGATCCAAGTGGTCCTGACAACACAATTTCCCAGTCTGGGACAGGAAATAATCAGAGAAACTGAGAAACAGCCCTGTGTGGACTCCATAGAAAAGAAAAGGTCACATTATCAGGCACAATGAAATGGAAGTTTCTCCCCCAAACTGGACCTAGAGCAGGAAAGCTGAGCCAGGGTGTCCTGGAGGAAGCACCACATAACTCAGACATGTATGTGCTCACACACTGATGGGAATATGTCAGAGGGTCACAGGAACCAACTGCAAAGCTGTCTGTCAGTGGTCAGACCAGAGCAGTTCTTAGTATCAAAATAAGGCAGTATTGGATTATGACCCCGAGTATAAAATAGCCGTGAGTCCATGCCGATATGAATAGATAGTAAAATAAACAGTGGCTCCCTGGTGGAAAGAAGTAGGGGGAGGGGGAACCACAGAGGGGGAGCCTTTGAAGCCCAGACTTCCTCAGCCTGTGGCTCAGTCGGGGGCAGCAGGGCTGTCTCTTGTCTGCAGTGTGTCTGTGGGGAGAGGTAACAAGAATGACTCTCTCCTTTTTTAAACATTTATTTTTATTTATGTTATGTGAATGTATGGATGTGTGCCACATGTGTGGGGGTGCCTGCTAGGGCCGGAGGAAGGCATCTGGTCCCCTAGAGCTAGAGTTGTCAGTGGCTGTAAGCCACCCCATGTGGGTGATGGAAACTGAACTCGGGTCCTTTGAAAGAGCAACCAGTATTCTCAATCCACTGAGCCATCTCTCCAGCCCCCCAAATCCAAGGGGTGGGGAGCATTTTAGCTATAAAATGCCCTACCGATGCCCCTTAAAAGGGGGTCATCAAAGCCAAGGGAAGTCTAGACATTGTCACACCAGGAGGCCGCTAAGGAGGAAACGTGGTGTGGTCGCCTGCGTGGGATCCGAGTTCTGGAAAGGGTGTTGAGCAGAAACTAAAGTAACTGAATAAAGCACAGATTTTAATGTCATTCCAGGTCCATTAATCATGACCAATGTACCATACCAATATAAGATGTTCACACGGCAGACAGGGCAGGGGCAGAGTAATTATGTTACTTCACAGTTTTTCTGGAAATCTAGAATAAAATGTCTATTTCACTTAAAAGATGTTGTAACAGGTGGACGTGTCTTTGGAGCTAGCGGGCTGAACAGTAGTGCAGGGAGTCTGATGAAATGCTGCCTGACCATCAGTAACTGCAGTGGAGACCTGACTCTGTCTGCGGATCCATGGTTCCCCCTTGTGCTAACACACTCGGCTTCATACAGGGCCTCCTGCATTTGTAGGCTCTTGGCCATCAGCCCCAGCTGATCCCACAGACTCAGACCTAGAATAGTTCAGGAGCAAAACACTGAACCGTGAATGGCAGCGAGAAGCAGGGGCCCAGGGAAGCAACACAGTGACTCTGGGCCCAACACCGAATCTTTTTAAAATCTGTTTTCTTCCTGCAGCATGAGAGGGTTAAAGTGGGAAAACCTCTTTTCTGATGTCATGCTGCTCTACAAGGCCTGGGATGCTAAGGTGAGGGCTGCAGAGGCCGTGACCCTGCAGGCGACAGCCACCAACTCTAGCTCCCTTGGGCTGTAGTCTGTCGTTCCAGATTCTGGGGCCACTCTGAGGGCTCTTCAGGATCCTCAGCCCACTCCCCACATTCTTGGGGTGTAGGTCCCTTGTAGGTAAGCAAGAGGGCCAGCTAGTCAGGCCGGTTTCCTCATAGAGGAAGCTGGGTTTCAGAGAGACTGATTGGCTCAGTGGCAGAACCAGAGGGGCAGAGACTGGGTCTCCTTCCTGTTATCCTTGTCCCATTGCAGCTTCTTTCCCACAGAACCCAAGTGTGTGCAGCCTCCAAAGTGGTCCTCGAGAGTACATGTTCATCAGCCCTCAACTCCACTTCCCAGTCTTAGAGAAAGTGGTGGGGGCTGGGACAGAAAACCCAGCTCCCCCTTTTCCTCTTCAGGTCTGAGAAACTGAAACGACAGTTTCTCCCCCAAACCCCACCTCTCGTCAGTCCCACAGCAAACCTTTTCCCATCTGATGATGACACAGCCCAAGACACTTTGCTTTCCGCCAGACCCCAAAGGGTTAACTCTCCCAAATTATGGGGCTGGGTTAACAATAAACAGGATGTCCTCCAGAAATTAAATTTAAACCACCGTGACTCAGGCCAGCCCATCCCCTCAGCCAGATCGCTGTCTGGGGGTTATTATCGGTGGTTAATTATACCGTTGGGGTTAGCAGCAGTGTTGGTCAACTTGGGCCAGGTGGAGGCGGGCGCGGGAGAATGACTAAAGGAAGGATGGGAATGGAGCCTAAGGGTTGGTTAGAACAGCCTTGGCATTGTCGGCCCAGAAGCCGAGAGGAGAGTATTGAGAGGCTGTCTTTGGGGCTTCTTCCCAGAGCAGGCCCCTAGGTACACTTCCGACCTAGGGTCAGGACAGGTAGGGGAAACGCATTCCCCTCTCTGTCACCACTGGCACGAACCGTGTTGATGTTCTCACCTGGCCGCCAATGTGGACTAACAGGGTCCATGTTGTCAGGACCTGGAAGAAATCTCTCCGTTGCCTCTGTCAATCCACTCACTCTTGAGAGCAAGAAAGGGCACCAGGGCAGTGGCTAGTGGCTTAGAGCAGCCTGCTGGAGTAGCTGGAAGCTGGGCTGCGGCCCCTCTTCTGAGCCCCAGCCCCATGATCTCCCTTGTGTTAGCCCCAGCTTCTTCCAAATTAACCTGGGAACGTGGTAAACACGCTTCTTAGCAAGTCCCAAGCAGGCTTGGGCAGATGCTTCACCAAGCCCACCACAGTTCATCCTGTCTCCTTTTTTTTAATAGAAATGTTATTTAATTTGTCCTCTCTCCTTAGCAGCCCCAGAAACCCTACCAGATACACTGTAGCACCTGTGGGAAGCTGAGGGCCTCTTCCAGAAGATGAGGGATGTCTGTGGGCTTTTCTTAAGGGCATGTTTTCAAGAATGATAGCCGCTATAGGGAGCTGTGTTTCTCTCTTAGCGGTTCCTCAGGGCAAGGTTTGCAGAGCCGCAAAGTGTCTTCCTTCCCCCACTTTTCCAGTGTGTTTAAGTGACAGACCACTAATAGGAATGACCATCTCAGCAGGTAGGAGTGACCAAGAGCATGGAGCATAGTCTATCCTAGAACCAAAGTGGGTGCTATTGGCTCACATGCCCCATGAGGACTGGGGGAGCAAGCATTAATCCCCTCTGTGTATCTGTTCCTGCTGCCCCGCCTTACCTGTGTCTCACAACACCCTCTGTCTCTCCCTCTTACAGGATTCCATTTAAGATCGGGCAGCCCAAGAAACAGATCATTCCCAAAACCGTGAGTAATGCAGTTCTTGTGCCCTGAGTCTCGGTTGTGCCTCACATCACCTCAACCTCTGGGTTTTTCTCTGTCTTGGTACTGGATCCTGTTGGTTGTTCTACATCTGAGCAGTCCTAGTCCCAGGAGAGCCCTGGAGCATACACTGCTCCCCAAATATACAGACCATGATAGTGCCTAAGGCCTTTCTTTTTGGCCACCTCGACTACATTAAAAGACACGGCAGCTTCTCCAGGTAGTCCACATCTTTTTGTTTGCACAGAGTGGTATAGCTGCCATGATCCAGTCACTCTGTGCAATAGTAACGCCTACCCACCTCTGAGCCCATGATGTTTATACCTGTTTTATGTCTAACACGGGAGAGGAAGAGCTGCAGATCCTGGAACATTAGCACTAGAAGCCCATGGACCTCAGCTGGCCACACTATCTGGTTTTTCGGTTGAGTGGTGGAGACACCATTAGATCTGAAAAGTTTCCTCCTGGAAAGCTGCAGTTAACATTCGGGGCTGTGGCTCTGGTCCCTCCTCCATCTATGCTTTGTGCTGCTCCCACTGTGCAGCCCCATCCGTCCAGAGTAGCTTCTTCAGCCCCTCACACACAAGAGAGGCCTTGAGGGGTTTTTGTTTTGTTTTGCTTTTTAAGATTTATTTATTTTATGGGTGTTTGTGTAAGGGTGTCAGGTTCCCCTGGAGTTTTGAGCTGCCATGTGGGTGCTGGGAATTCAACCTGGATCCTCTGGAAGTGCCATGCTCTTAACCCTTGAGCCATCTCTCCAGCACCCAAGACCTTGGTTTTTAACATGAGTAAAGCCATACTGTGTCATGACAACTCAAGGTCCAGGACTCCCTTCCCAGTAGAGGCCCCTGTGCCCATCCTCTGAGCTCCTGCCATCCTCTTGGCCTCCCGCCTTCTCTCCTCGGCTCCACCACTAGAGCTAGAGGAACGATCCCACTTTGGTTTGGCAGGAAGTCCAACTCATCTGACCAGTGCCTCTATCTTCAGGAAGTCCAGAGATGGGTCACAGAAAGGAGCAGGGCTCAACTTAAAAGAGTCGCCCTCTGCCTCATAAAAAAGGCCGCTTGTAGCAGACTCGGTGTCGCCTCCGTGGCTGACCATCTGTGGAGCCTCTCAGCTAAGACCCAGAAAGTCTGGGTGTGCAAATGCTGGGCTGCAGGCAGGGGAGGGTGTGGCTATGAGCCTCCAGAGAGTAATCTCAGCAGATCCAGAGGAGAAGTGGTTTTGAAAAGGGTCTTTTTTTCCTACTTTGTTCGCCCATGCAAACAAGAAGACAGAAATCCCTCCCTCCACCACGACTTTCATCTTTCCTTGATGGGGCTTTGATCCCCAGAGCAGGATGGGCTACAGTGCACTTTCCAGCTCCCTGCCGGAGTCTGTTGGTGGAAAGCCTTGGCTCCTGGGGGAGGGGCTAAAGATGAGAATTATTTATTTTGGTTTGTGGTTCCAGGGATTTCAGTCCATCATGATAGGGGATCCTAGAGCCCTTACTTTAAGGAATAGCAAAGATTCCCAGGGAAGAACAGACACCCCCCTGATAGCTTCCCTTGTCCCTTCCCTGTGCTGACTATGTCCTTGCCGGGGACTTGTCGTCCTTTAGTCTGTGGTGTCCCCTCCCCCAAATCGAGCAAGTATCCAGGTTAAGGAGCCAGGTTAGAGACTGATTCCCTGGATTACTACCTGGCTCTGCCTCTGTGTTATCTGTGGGTTTTGGCACACGCCTTACTCTCTTCAAGCCTTAACTTTCTCGTGTGTAAGGTAAGGGTACCCCCAGTATAGGAAGAGTCTCACATAAGCCAATGCATATAAGGTACTTAGTGCAGTGCCTGGTCTGTAAAGAGCCCTCGCTGACAGCTGGCTTCCTCCAAAGCCATCAAGGACCCAGCAGTTCCACTCCCAGGTGCAGTGAAGTTGTGGATTAGGCCTGTGATCCTTCACCAACAATGAAAGCTAAGGCGTTTTCCTCCACCCAGCCTATTCCCCTCAGCTCCCAGGGTGCTTAAGTATAGGTAGCGAGACCCTGCCCTCTCTGGATCGGTTCTTGCTCACCTCTCCACTCCGAGCACAGGCCTGGGCTATGCAGATGTCTCCAAATCTCTGGCAGCTGTCCCTGGATGCTGGTGACGCACTCTGGGGTAGGAACAGATGTGACCGCCCAGGTTATTGGAAGTCATAGCAGCCCTGTAATGGGAAGAAATGTTCATATTATCTTCAGGGAGTTTCAGGAGGTTACTGGCTCGGGGTACCCAGCTGCCAGCCACAAAGAAAACATTGTCTTGGCTCTCACTGCTTGCCTGTGTTCAGGTTACCAGCGTGCATTCCATGATTGTTGAGACTGTGACAGGAATGACATGTTCTTTCAGGGACTGACCATTGACACTATGACAAGGACCACAATTCCTACCTCCTAATCTAACTTCTGTTAGTCTCCTCTGGAGCCTCAGAGTTTCTTAACATGGAGAAAGAACATAAACACAGAAACACACATCACATACAGATACACACACACATATACACGATACACATACATATACACTCACAGCACACATACATACACAGTCACCACAGAAACCACACATACAGGGCGGTGGTGGCGCACGCACGCCTTTAATCCCAGCACTCGGGAGGCAGAGGCGGCAGGTGGATCTCTGGGAGTTCAAGGCCAGCCTGTTCTACAGAGCTAGTTCCGGGACAGGCACCAAAGCCACAGAGAAACCCTGTCTCGAAAAACCAAAAAAAAGAAAAGAAAGAAACCACACATACATACACACACACCACATACATATACATCACACCCACATACATACCACCACACATATATATACTTACACACCATATACAGACATACACCAAACACACACGGACAGGGGAGCTCTTGGAGACACTGTTTCCCATGCCTACTAAGCAAGGGTTTTTTAGATCTTGTGCACGTAGGAAAACACAAGACAAGGTTCCTAGCCAGTAGGTGCATTGCAAAACCAGGGCAAAGACAAGTAGCCACTCTGAACCCCTGCAACGAGGAAGATTTCAGACTTCAGCCCCTCTAATCCCCCTTAGCCCTGGAGCATACTGAAAGGGAGGTGTCGTCCACCCATAACATCCTTGCATGGCTCTCAGGATGCTTTCCCTGCCTCACTTTGACCTGACACGCCTTAGCCCTGGCATCAGAACCACAGCCCCGCCTGCGGCCTCCTTTTCCCCTTTACCAGGAATTTGTGTTTGGAAGGAACTCAGCTTGTTCACTCACTAAGCAAGTGCCGAGCTCCTGCTGGGCAGGCTAGCCTAGGCATTGCCCTTGCAACCTGGGCCCGGGAGAATGTAGGGAGCATCATGTGGGGCTTGATTCTCCCTAGGCTACCCTTCAGCAGCCCGGCCCTGCCCGATCCCCTGACAGTCCGCGCACATGTGTTTACACTTGCATTGTTGACTGGCCTCCAGTTGCCTTTTGGCAAAGGCATCAAGCATTCAAAAACATTCAGATCTTTTCCACTTGGCTCTTTCCCTCAGAAGACATGCACCTTGGAATGCAACTCCGATGTGTCCCTTTATTCCATTAGCCATAATCTGAGGGCCTGGAATTCTGGTCCTACCCCAAGTGGTTGTCTTCTGGGGAGAAAGATGAGGGACCCATGAACTGCACCGTGGCTCCTGGAAGCAGGAGAGGTGGTGCTTCCAAGTTCCTCTGAGATGACCTTGAGTGACATCAATCAGAAAGAGCATGTGGCCACCCCAGCCAGCTTCTGTCTTCCAGAGACTGTGAGCTTCTGCTCCCCCTGAACAATCCCACCTGGCTGGGAGCTCGAAGGCCCCTCTGTACAAGTCCAAGCAGTCCCCAGCCAGGCAGACCAGGTGCTCTCTGACATCCCACACACATCAGCACTCTCAAGCATTGCAAAAGAGAAGGCTGGAAGCCAAAGGCAGCCGCGCAGGAGCTCAGCCTCACCACCCCAGGAGAGCAAGTGCCTGGGTATGTCTCCAGAAGAGTTTGGTTATTGCCAATAAATACTTAGTTTTCATTCTATACTTTGGGAAGTCGACACTAATAGGAAGAAAAATAAGACGCTCAGCAGCCACATCCTCTGGGCTATAAAGGCTATGAAGTGCCAGTTATGTGGTACTCTGTAGCATGAGGTGCCATGCTTAGCCTCACCTGGTGCCATTCCCCAAGTACTTTTGGCTGCTGCTCTCTGTATTCCTATCTGCATCTCTAGGCTACTGTTAACCCTCTCATGCCCAGCAAGCAAGAGAAGAACATGGATGTTGCATTCTGCAATCACCAGTGTGGGCTGGGCACCCACCCACCCACCCATGTATTACCTTCCCCCAAACAAGTGAGCCACTGAGCCTAGAGCAATGACCAAGTGAAACCACTCTGCTCAGATACCAGAGGCTATTGACTTCAGAGTTCATTCCTCTCCACTGCCGTCCTGCACCACGTGCTGGGGAAATGACTCTGCTGGTCCAGCCTTTTGATCTTAGGACATGGCATTGTCATCTACAGAGTTCACTTTCAAAAGCCACAGTTAAGTCACTGTTGGCACCTAAAGCGCAGGCCAGCACGAAAGCTCTGTAGGTAAACGCACTTGCTGTGTAAGCTTGAAAGCCTCTTCCCACCAGAACCCACAGTGAAAAGAGAACCAGTTCTTAAAAGTTGTCCTCTGACCTCCATGGATACACTCTGCCTGCCCTTACATATGCATCATAAACACAATAATGATAGTGATAATAAATTAGGGGAGGAGTGTTTGTTTGAGACAGGGTTTCTCTGTGTAACAGTCCTGGCTGCCCTAGAACTCGCTTGGTAGACCAGGCTGGCCTCAAACTCACTGAGATCCACCTGCCTCTGCCTCCCAAGTGCTGGAATTAAAGGTGTGCGCCACCATCAGCCAGCTACACGATCCTTTTCAGTGTAGCCAAGGCCCAACAGCAGATTGGTCGGGTCTATGAGAAAGCTGTGGCTGAGAAGGGACCTCACAGCTAATACATGAACCCTGCAACTTGACTCGCTCGCCTCTTCCTTGGTGCCCTGCTGACCCCTAGGTGGGGTCTCGTCATGTCAGATTCCCTTGACTGCCATCAGAGTTGGGATGAGGAAAGGGCACTAACAGAACCCCACCCTGGGGTGACAGAGCCAAGGCTCAATCCTTTGAGATTTGCCAGCTAGCCTGGTTAGCCCCTCTGGGAGGAGAGGCCTTCTTCCTAAGTCAAACACTTCATTAGTTTGGGAACACAGGGACACTGTTGTTAATGATGGGCTAGAGCGTGTCGGGACTGGACAGCGCTGTTGCTGCAGGCTTGGGGGAGGGCGTGGAGCGAGTTTCAGTAAGCGGGTGATGTTTTCCACCGTGTTGTCATTGCCCCATTGATTGAGCTCGCTCTTTCCCTACAGGTGGAGAGAGACTTTGAACGGGAGTATGGGAAGCTGCAGCAGTAAGTGTCAAACTCCAGAAGGGTGAGATGGGAGATTGCTGGGCTTGTGCTTCATGCCAGGGCTACCTGCCCTGCCTCCTCCTGGCCAAGTCAGGCTCAGCCAGGGAGCCTCTGGGCCCTTTGTCCATTTACAACTAGGGACCGAAGACAGCGCCAACAGAGACTGGCTATAGGAAGGTCATTAGCGCATAGGCGCTGGGTGATTGGCCTCATGCAGAGCCTCAGGTGGCATGCGATCTGTGGGGGGTGTGGCACAGAGAGCGTCTTCCCTCCCTGCTAGGCTTACCTGAGGCAGAGAAGTAGGGGGCCCTAGTGCTGTGAGGCTAGGGGCCCACCTGCTCCTTGCCTTTCAGGCTGGAAGAGCAAACCAAGCGCCTGCAGAAGGACATGAAGAAAAGCACCGATGCCGACCTGGGTAAGCGGCCCCTCCCTGTGTCTGTTGAGGCAGATGGATGCCCGTTTCCTCAGATCCTCAGGGCTGACTCAGAAGTCGCCTGCTCAGAAAACAACATGCACTGAACCTAAGAAGAGGCCATTCTCTCTGATCAGATCGCCACGTCCCATAGGGTCCTGCCACTCCATGGGGACAGATGCTCCCGGGTCCTGTTAGGATGGTATTACAGCCAGCAAAAGTCTCTACGGCAAGTCCCTTCCCTGCCTCAGTGTCAGGGCCAGAGAGAGAGGGCAGCATGGCCTTTGTGGCAGAAGTGGGCAGCTTGCCTCTCCCATGGCAACAGCAGCTGAGGGTGCTATCCAGCTGAGCAGATGAGTCAGCAAGCTGAGCCAGGGAAACTTCAGGACCATTCTGTCATTACAGAGGGTACAGAAAGGCCTCTAGTGAGGGCCAGCAGGTGCTAGCAAACGGTCAGGACTAGGGAAACTCTTGGCCAAAGAAACTTGTTCAGGAAAAACTAGGCCTCAAGGCCCCAGTGACTAAGGTATTTTGGGTCAGGGAACATCAAGAGGCTGTGTCACTAGTGACAGAGAACATATCCCTTACTGTCCCCACCAAGCCTGATGGTCTCTAACCCAACACTGCCCCTAACCTCACTGTGCCTTGTCTGGGAAATACCCACATCGCTGGTCCTCAGCCCTGTGGCTTGCTGTGATGGTGAAGCTATATGCTTGGTGTAAAGCCCTAAGAGCAGCATAGTCACCAGCATGCTTCTATTAAGAGCAGTGGTACTGCCAGCAGCAGCAATAGCAGAAGTAGCTGCAGCAAGGCTTCTCCAGATTCCAAAGAGAGGGATGTGCGCATGTCACTTTACAATAGGGACTTCAGAGAGACAGGTTTGACCAGAACAACCCACCGTCTCCCACTTGACAAATCCTGGTGGAGAAGCATCTTGCTCCAGGCACATGTCTCAGTGCTAGGGATTCACCAGAGTCAAGACAGGAACCTCTACCCTAGGAGAGAAGGCATGCAAGAAATCAGTAACCGTGCATTCTAGCACCATGCAATGGCCCATGCAATGAGGACTGTAAAGGGGTGGGGAGTAACTGGTGCTGCCTTAGGTGGGATGAGCAGGGAAGCCTCTCTCGGGAGGTATCCCTGTACCTGAAAGAATAAGGGCGTACTCTCTGTGCCTGAGAGAACACTGCAGCAAAGGCCCTGAGGTGGCCTAACCCGAGTGGTTGTGCTCACTGACCCAGAGGCAGAAGAAGAACTGAAGGCCCACCTGGTTTGTTCAGCCACATGGTGTAATGGTGTCTTGTAGTAGTCACCGAGTGTTTGAACAGCCACAGAGGAAATCCACCTACAGTACATCTTCTTAACTAAGACTGACAGGGCGGGTGAGATGTCCATCTTTTGTTTTGTTTTGTTTTGTTTTTTTGAGACAGGGTTTCTCTGTGTAGCCTGGCTATCCTGGTACTTGCTCTGCAGACCAAGCTGTCCGGGAATTCACAGAGATCCTGCCTCTGCCTCCCAAGTGCTGGGATTAAAGATGTGCACCACCACCACCTGGTGTCCTTTAAAAATGGAAATTGTTTTGTCAGTCACCTGAGGCAGAGTTTTTTGGTTTTGTTTTTAAACCTTTTATTCTTTTATTTATGTGTGTGTGTGTGTGTGTGTGTGTGTGTGTGTGTGTGTGTGTGTGTGTTCATGTGGGTATGAGTTTCAGATTGCCTGGAGCTGGAGTTACAGGCAATTCTGAGACCCTTTGTGAGTACTAGAAACTGTACTTGGGTTCTCTGGAAGAACAGCAAGGGCTCTTAATCGCTGAGCCATTTCTCCAGCCCACCTGCCTGTTTCTGGCTGGCTTGTTTTCTGACTGCTCTAAGCTAGGACGCACTAATAGGGGGGAGGGGTGCTCACTGCAGTAACCAGACCTATCTTAGTGTCTGACTGTCTGCCCCAAAAGAGTAGAATCCAGATTCAGGTAACACAGTGGTATCCAGATGCCATCTGAAAGATCACAGGATGGTGGACAGCTCAGGGTGGGTTGAGAACCTACCATTGTCCCACTTGGCATGCAGTAGAAAAGGAAACCCTTGATAGGCCCAAAGCCTTGCCCCATTTTTGCCAGGTACTAGGACTCGGCTGGTTACTTACACCTTCTTTATTCCTTCAATAGACACACTGAACAGCTTCTGATCTGAGAGAGAAATGTCTTCCTAGGGAGCCGCTGCTATTGCCAAAGCCCTGGCAGAACCGCCCGCCTTCTTGCTCTGTGCCCTCAAGCTTCTCTGTCAACCCCAAGGCTGTGGGCTAGTCTGAACGTGACTCCCACCTTACTTCTGTCATGTCCTGAGCCAGGGCCAGGCTTGGGAGTGGGTCTGACTTTCACGGAGGGCCGTCACATCACTTGCCACCACCTTCCAGCAAGGGAGCCGCTGGCACCAGCTTCCCACACTGCTGGGGGTCAGAGTAGAAATGGAGCACAGGATTTTGTTTCCATAGTGAGACATCACAACCAAGTAGACATCAGGAGTCTGCAAGGAAGAGACCTTGACTACAGAGTCTATTATCCAACAATAAAACTGGACCGAGGGGTGATTCTGGAAGCCTGGAATCACTGGCTCCAGCTTACGTGGTCCGCATTCAGGGTCTGTCACATGGACGACCACAGTGTCACCACTGGGTTGGTGGTGGCATAGGATGCCAGGCCTGGCCTTAGCATTCTAAGGTCCAGAACGAGGCCTGGAAATGTAGCTCTGATGCATTGTGATGCAGGTACAGTGAGTGAGACTAGGAACACACCTAGAGCCGCTGACCCAACAGGTGAGAAAATGTGACCTCAGATTCTCCCAAATCCCAAGGACAGGCTCTAAAATACTCATTAATGCTCTGAAAAGAGGATCTTCTGGTCCGTAAAACTATGACTTCCGGAGCTTTCAGAATGGTCAGTTTTGAGGACTTTTGGGCACTTCACCAGGAAGCTGTATTAGAACCTCAGAAACACAAGGGCAGGTCCAGGAGCTTAATATTTTCTCTAAGATTCAAAGACTGCCAATCTTAGGGGCTAAGCCATGTGGGCCGTGGACCCACCACCACCCAGTCCCTGCAGGGGAGGGAGCTGTTATCTGGAGCAGGGATCAAGAACAGGTGTGTGGGATTGGATTTCAGACCTGGTTGTGCCCAGGACAGTGGCCTAAGAAAATGCAGCACGTTGGCTTCGTGTGTCTTCAGCAGGCAGGGGCCTGAGCGTGTGAGGGTGTAAGGGGAGGAAAGGGTAGGTGGAAGAAAGCCTTCCACCATCCGATGACTGCTGGGATTTCCTTTATTATGACTTGCTGGGGAGAAAGCAAGAGAAGACGTTTTCAGACATGTTTGCAGCTCTGTGCAGATTTTTATTATCTTCTGACTGTGCTGCTTGCCGTCACTTCAGAAATGGTTCTTCCTCCTCCATTGCTTCAACATTTCTGGCAAGTTTACCTTTCCAGTCCCCTCCCACAGTTGGCTCTCTTTGCTTGGTGATAGTAAGCCCTCACCAGCCTCTTAAGGAAGGACCTGGATATGACAGGGACCTCTGGCAGGGCCTGAGCTTCTCCTCTCTTACATTGGCCATGCAACTGTCAACCACATTCAGAGGGACTAGTTTGGTCCTATGCTTGTTCCTTCCCAGTCTGGCTGGAGTTGGTGAGCTCCCATTAGCTCAGGTAGACTGTTTTAGTGGGTGTACCCATAATGGTCTTGACCTCTTTGCTTATATTCTTACTCCTCCCACTCTTCAACTAGACTTTGGGAGCTCAGTCCAGTGTTCCGATGTGGGTCTCTGCCTCTGTTTCCATCAGTTGCTCGATGAAGGTTCTATAGTGATATTTAAGATATTCATCAGTCTGACTACAGGGCAAGTCAAGATCAGGCCCCCTTCTTTTTCTTTTTTTCTTTTTTTTTTTTTTTTTTTTTTTGATTTTTCGAGACAGGGTTTCTCCGTAGCTTTTGGTTCCTGTCCTGGAACTAGCTCTTGTAGACCAGGCTGGCCTCAAACTCACAGAGATCCGCCTGCCTCTGCCTCCCGAGTGCTGGGATTAAAGGCGTGCGCCGCCACCGCCCGGCCCCCTTCTTTTTCTTTCTTAATGGTTCGTACAGTTACTGCATGCCTTAAAATCAATAGCAGCTTAATGCTGTGACACTCAAGTAATAGTAAAATAAATTCCAGCCAAGGATGGTAGTGCATGCTTTTAATCCCACCTCTTAGGAGGCCGAGGCAGAAGATCACTGCCCATCTGGGGCTTCATAGTGAGGCCAGCCTGGAGGCAGTGCACGGTACAATTTAGAACAACAGTAACAGAACACTCGTCTTCTGTTACTCCTCAGCCTTTTGGCCAAGGTCACATGCCAGATTTGTCTTCTGCTCCGATACTCAGTCAGATATGTTAGAAACTGGTGTGGACAGTGTTGAGCCAGCCTGGTCCTTCTCTAGGCCCTCTGCCTATCCCTCTACAACTTCATGTATAAATAATGGAAAGTTAAAAATGAGCCCTAGATCAAGAGCCTCAAATTTAACATCGAGTCTCCATCCTCCTCGGTGCTGCCTGGGACTTCTGGAAAGCCCACAGCACTTCAAGCTTTCACCCTCTGTCCAGTCTGGATAAGTGGGCTAGCTCTGGGGTGCAGTGGGGTACATGAGACAGTCCAGGCGGGCAACCCACCTACAATATGGGTTCTTGTATTCTGCGATTATTGACTTAGCATCTTTAGAGCAGAAATGTGTTGTACAGCTTCCCACCCACACTTGGTTGGTCCTAGAACAACCTAGTTTTTCTTCGTGGCTAGGAGTTGTGGTAAGCACCACGGAGCATGTCACATAGCTTTTTGGAACCTCAACGTTCTGGTAGCCATGGCATAGGCGGAGGTGCTCAGGTCAGACCCCTAGGCCAGAGGAGGTCAAGGAACACTAGGAGATCATGAAATTTGGCCCTCTGGGAACTCACGGATCTTTTAACCTTCTTAACAGCTATGTCCAGATCTGCTGTGAAGATCTCCCTGGACCTACTCTCCAACCCCCTGTGCGAGCAGGACCAGGAGTTTCTGAACATGGTGACAGCCCTAGACACAGCTATGAAACGGATGGACGCCTTCAACCAGGAGAAGGTAAGCAGGTCTTGTTGCCAGTAGCCAGTGCTTGCCCCCTTCCCCTCGGGCCTACATAGATACAGTGCCCATCATAGCTTGTAAGTGGTGCTGGGGTTTCAGCCTCCAAAGGCCTGATGTTCCCCAAGCCCAGCTCTTCCCAAACCAGGCTGTTCAGTTGCCCGTGTCTCCTGTGAGGCATGTCACCGAGGCCACAGTGAAGCCAGGAGGTGCCTACAGCAGCCACACTCTGCAGGACAGCTTTGCCCGCCCATCCCTCCACACTGAGCAAAGCTGTTACAAACCTGGCCCAGTAGCACTGACAGGAAAAGCCTGGCCTGAGACCAGACCCAGCCCTAGGTGTGGCCCTCGGGGTCCCTGGTTGGCCTCTCCCTCTCCTCTGGCTGCAGAATATGGATACTGTATTGCCTGTCTCACCCGGATCCCCTCTTGCCCAGCTCTCAGGACTCTGGCTTCTGGGGAAGCTGGGGCCTCCTCCTTCAGAAGAGTCTAGAGCTCTCAGTTTGGATGCTGTTTAATTCTTCTTTTGGCAGGTGAACCAGATCCAAAAGACAGTGATTGAACCCCTGAAAAAGTAAGTAAGGTTATCCAAGGAAATGGGCCTCAGGCACTTGTGGGAAAAGCAGACCAGCTAGCCACTTGGGGACCAAGGAGCGTTTCTAGCAGCATGTCCCCAGCTTCCCATGACAAGGAACAGCAGGGACACCAGCCGTACATTGTGTCCCGTGTTCGAGGCTCCTGGTTGCTGCCAAGCACCAGCACTGCCTAGTCCATCTGTAGGGGACAGAGCCGCTCATGTCCATGGTGCCAGACGCTGCCCTGGTGGTCTTTTGGCCCCTTCCCCTTTGCCTCTGGCTGATTGCAGCGAGCAGAGCTCCTGGCCAGCACTCAGCAGACATGAGCAAGGCCTTTCATCTCACAGCCGGCCTGGGATGCAGCTGCCTACAGCACTCTGCTTTGGAAGCGTGGGGGTGGCTGCACATGGGGAAGGGCACAGCAGTGGTGGCCCGATCACATCCTGCTTGGGAAGGTCCCCTCACTCGTGACCTGGGAGAGCAAGGGGTTCTGTGAGACTCCGTCTTTGGTCCTGCAGGCCCTGGTCAAGGATCAGACAGGCTTGTCCCGTGGGTCCCCAGGGGAGGAGGCTGGCCCGAGCCTTGCCTTGAAGCTCCTGAGTGCTTCCTCTCTCCTGGCCTCTCCCAGCCTGCTCTGACCTAGAAAGGCTCCCGCTCCGCGCTGCAGCTGTACTTTATTACCTCTTCTGCGGTGGTCCCGGCAGTCGCCTTGCCAGGGCGAGGCAGTGCGCCTCTGCTTCATTATCATTAGGCCAGGATCAAGCTGGAGGAAGATGAAGAGAATCGTTTTTGATCCTACAGTCTGGGTGTTGAGGAGTGCTATTCTTCCCTGTTCGCGTCTGGGGGTGGGATTAGGAACAGCCCCCCTAGCCTCGTCAGTGCCTCTTCCCAACGCGGGACCTGCAGATGCCGTGAGGCCAAGCCTGGCCCATGCCCACCACCCCAGCCCCATCAGCTTGGGCTCTCAAACCCCTCCCTGCCTCTTAGTCAGAGTTCATCCCCAACCACAGGTCCTGTATGGGGCCTGAGTGCAGAAGGAGCTGTTCATTTGATCTGGTGCCCAAGATAGATTCAGAGCTGAATGGAAGGCTCTCAGAGGGGTGCGCTCTTGTGCACAGAGAAGTCTGCTGTGCTGGAGATACAGGGGGCCCAGAGGCAGCCACAGGCACTCAGAGTTGGCAGAGTTTGGCAGGACTGCCAGCTCAGAGAACTAGGGGGGTGACTACCTTCTCGATTTCACAACCAACGAGGCGGCATTGAAATCGGATCTCTGGCTTCTGCAGCCAAGTAGAGAGAAACCCCGGCTGCTTCCCACCAAGCTCGCAGCCCACCACCTGCCAGGAAGGTGGGGGCGTGGCAGAGGGGGCGGCCACCATCTCCGCCATGGATCCGCTGACCTCTGTGTGAGCCTCGGGCCTGGCTGGCTTCTGCAGCCCACAGCCAACATACAATCCCCCATGACCACAGAAACCACCACTGCCTGTTACCTCCTCCCCGCTTGCATCCTTGTGCCAGGAGAGAAGCTCCCAGGGACCCCAGCACCGGAAACAGGAAACTGCAGCTTTCCTGTCCTCTAATGAAGATCATGGCCACCCTGTCGCCCCCAGCATCTCCCGCAAAGGGGGCTCGGGCTCTAATCCCCCAGCCCCTGGGTTGTTCACATGTCGGATGGGGATGCTTTCAATTTCCCTTTCCTGGTGGGCGGAAGATCCCGGCTGTGTGGGCACAGATGAGGAATGGCAGGCATTCCCCACCAGGCCGGCTGCTCCCAGCCCACCTCCCAGCCGGCCTCTTTCCCTCACCACTCTCTCCTCACCCCACGCTTTACCTCCCTGGGGAGCAAGCTTGGTGTTGAACCCTATGTCAGGCAAGAAATGGGTACCTCCTAGGCTGAACTCCATCTTTGAAGATCAATGTGCATCTGTCCTTGGTACTTACAGACTGGGAACTCAGGCAAGTGAGCCCAGGTGTGCGTGCTGCTGTATTGAGCAGGGGCAGTGTCCCAGCAACCCCACTGGCCGAAATCTGTCCAGATCCTTGGTATGGTAAAGTCGGTACCTAGAAGCAGGGTTCAGTGAACTAAGTGTGCTTGAGGGTGCAGGATTTGAATGGGGCCAAGGAGCAGAATATGGCCTGTCTCTTACCCCTAATTTATCAAGGGGCAGCTGAGAGCAGCAGAGAGGCTCTGACGTCTCCGCCGTGTGTATTTGAAGCAGACCTGTAGAAATGCAAGCTTTGTGCCTCGAGAGCCGGGCCCATGTGTCGTGGTGGCCAGGAGATCAGCAGGAACCCTATGAGGTCCAAGAGCATATCTGGGGAAGGTCCAGCATGGGACCAGCCCACGCCTGTCTTCACCTTCTGCACCAGCACCCTAGTTAGCTCACATCTAGACTGGACCCTGCTGTCAGGTAACTGGCGGGATCTGTCCAAGGCTGGAAAGTAGGCACTCTTCCTGTGAGTGACGTTAATAGCCCCTCAGGTGAAGAGAGCGTGAGTCCCGTCCCTTGTCTCACGGACTCCCAGTCCTAGGTCCACAGCTACCCAGATTCCCCCTTTGTTAGGGACTCATCTCCAGTAGCCTGAGCTGCTAACCAAGCTCAGTTCTCAATCAGCTCTTAGCCTGACTGAGAAGTACTGCTGTAGGAGACAGATCTGAGGGAGACACGCGAGTCCCCAAAGAGTCAGGAGCCTCTGCTAGGCCAGCAGGACCAGTGGCACCTGCAGAGGGTGGTGGTCTTGACTCCTGTGGGCTTCTGAGAAGGAGTGCATGCTATTTAGTAGTGCTGTCTAGACACCACACATCCCTATAACCCCTGGGCTGTGCTAGCCTTGGTCTCCCAGCTCAGCACTTTGACCTGTGTCCTTCATGAGCTGGCCAGGTCATCAAGTATTAGTGTTAACACTCTCAGGAGGTGGGACTTGGTCTTGAAGATGACAACCATGGAAAAGGACTAGGATCCTGAGCTAATGTCCAAGCTGTGCCGAGACTGGCATGTACCCAGGGCTGTACACCCAGCCAGCATTGCACCAAGACCATTTCACACCTGCAGGCTGCCCTTCACACAATGCCTTTGTTTCTTGTGATGCCCACCTGCCCTCCTGAGAGGTGAGTTCCAGTGAGCAAAGAGATCCTGAGACCTGGGCAGGGAAAAGTACTCCACCTCTGCCTCCTGCCTGTGTCTCATTCTTACCCTGTCTCTGACCCCTAGCCCTAGGGCCACCCAAGCAGCAGGCTGTTCCTGACAAAGGGCTACTGGGGCCCTTTGTTCTCTTGGGATAGAGGGAGGGGCAGGGTGGTAGTTCTCAGGCCCGGGCACCTGTTCCCTTGAGCCGCACACTGCTCAGCTGCGCAGGAAGGGAGAGGGGGCTCCAGAGCAGCTGAATGGCCAGGCACAGCTGCCTTGACATAGGCAATGTGCCTGGCTCCTCCCAGTGTGACCTGGTGGTGCCTGGTCCCCATACGTGCAGAGCCCCATGGGTTCACATCTTCTACCTGTTAAAGCACCTCATCACATCTTATTTGACTACTATACAGGCCCTATGACTGCGGTCTCAGAGAAATCCTGATGGCCTTGGCCCACTAGCGTCTTCAGGAAAGCCATGAGCCCACTTTGAAGGTTAAGCACAGGAACTGGTTTCAGTGGCCTTTGAGAGGAAGCCATTTGTGTCACCCTGATCTGCTCCTGGAATCTGCTGCTTGCTTGGGGCACCCTGATGCCTGGCCGGGTCATATTCTCTATTCTCTAACAGTAGTCAATATTCTCGTCTGTGTATCCCTGACTTGTTGAGGCTTTAAGTAATGAATTCATGAGGTTGGGAATAGGGCCTCCTGCAGGTCGAAGCCTACCCTAAGAATCCAAGTGTTCTCTCAGCTCTGGTTGCCTCAGCCACTGCCTGGGGTCCCAGTGAGAAGATCCCCATCCCCCTGACTCCTGTTTGCCTTGTCACCCTCTCTGGGCTCTTCCTGGATAAGCTGACTCTTCTGGTCCCAGGTCATCAACTGTGTCTGTCCACCTGAGTGACCAAAGGCATTGAATAACTTGGTTGCTTTTCCATCCCATACCAGGCTGTCAGAGCTCCTGGCTGACACAGTAGGCACCTCATGGTGTGGTAGGGAAGCCTTGTACAGTGCCAAGGTCAGCCACAGCCCCTTAAGGCTTTGCATACCCCATTTTCTCACTTCCGGGAGACCTGCTTACAAGGTCGCCTCACCTCCGTCCTTCATCTGTGTCAAAAAGAATGTTTACTCTTGTCTGGGCCCCGAAAGGTGGCCCTGGTGATGGTAGTTACAGTCAGATACCAACATTTAACATACAGCCCTCTCTGAATGGCCAGTCTTCAGAGTGGTCACCCCGCACTCCTTTTCAGTCGTGTTGGGTAGGATGGTCCAGGGCCATTCCTAAAGCATGGTTTTTCCTGTGCTTTTTGTGGGAGAGCCATAGCGTTTGTGTTTCTCCACAGGCTGTCATTTGTTGTCACCTGTCAGTGGCACTGTCGCGCAGTAGGAAAGGTGCTGGCAAACTCAGAAACTTCTGGTCCTTCCTGGACCATCACCACCTGATTGCGGCCTTGACCTCCCGTGTTGGTGTGTTGTGTTTTGTTTTTTAGTGTATTCAGGAGTATCATCCCCGCCATTCTCTGTGATGGGGCTCAGGGTGTGTAGGGTGACAGCAACAGGGCAAGGAGCACTCTTGTTCCCAGCCCTCCCTGCAGTCTAGGGAGCGTACTCAGTACTGTCTGCTGCCCCCCATCTCATCCTGCCAGCACAAGTCCCACAGCTTCAGAGCCTGTTGGGTCTGGCACATAGTAGGTGTGTCATACATGTTTCTGAGTAAGGGGTGACTGTTAGAACCACACATACACACGACAAGCCTGTTCCAACCCGGCTGTGCCCAACAGGTTTGGCAGCGTATTCCCAAGCCTCAACATGGCAGTGAAACGGCGGGAGCAGGCCTTGCAGGACTACCGGAGGCTGCAGGCCAAGGTGGAGAAGTACGAGGAAAAGGAGAAGACTGGCCCAGTGCTGGCCAAGCTCCACCAGGTACAGCGGGAGGGGGAAGGAGGGGAGCAGCAAGGTAAACAGAACAATTGCCCGGAGGTCCTCACATGGGGACCTGCAGACCCAGGACCCTCGCTGTTCCCACACCCTGCCCCCTTCAGCGACAGCCCTGACACCAGGGTCTTGTTCCCCAGGCCCGAGAAGAGCTGCGGCCTGTGCGGGAAGACTTCGAGGCCAAGAACAAACAGCTCCTGGATGAGATGCCACGGTTCTACGGCAGCCGACTTGACTACTTCCAGCCCAGCTTTGAGTCCCTGATCCGGGCACAGGTGAGGCAAGGCTCCCCCTTGGGGAATAGTCTTTGTCAGAGCCCAGTTCCCGTTGATGTAGCTATGTTCTGCAGACAGCAGCATCTTCCTGCCCCAGGCACTCTTGAGAATTCATGTAGTGCCCCAGCCAGCCCTGGTGCCCAGCACTGATGTCATGCAGGAGCTTCTCTTGGGCATCCTCCATTCCACTTGATTCCAGCCCTGTGATGGACAGGGTTCCTTTTCGTTTAACCCTTTGCCCCTTGAGTTCTTCCTCCTACATTCAAGCAGCAAGACCCCAGACTGCATCTTTAGCCACCATTTTAACTGGGCAGGTCTTTTGTAGAGGTGGTTGGGAGGCCAGTAGAATGAATGCCCGAGGACCCAATAGGAGACTTCCATTAGCGGGAGACCCACAGGAGCCCTAACTGAGCTTCCTAAGGAGGAGTCCTGGACCAACTCTGAGATGCTAGCCTCTAGGTGTAATGCTCCCCCTAGTGGAAAGACAGTGGAGTGCAGGTTGGTGTGGACGTGGTTGCCAGAGAGCTGGACACAGGCCAGAAACACACCCCAGTGTCTCCTACCACCGGGGTGGGGGGCCCAAATGGGAGGGTACGCAGCTCCTGCCCTCTCTTCCCCATTCATCTTCAGGCAAATTTTAACTAGGATTGTTCTTCCCACTGGTGAGGTGGAAGAGGCAGTGGTACTGAAGCCAGGAGCAGGTCTTCTCCACACCGACACCCTGCAACTGATCACAGGTGCTGGCTTCCATCTCAGGACCCCAGCACTAACTGGTCCCCAAGCTAAAGGTTTCCTGTCCCCAAGCTCTGCCTGCCCTATTTGTTTTACCTGGGCCTCTGGTGCCCTCCAGTGGACAACCTCATTTCCTCGTTGCTTCCTTAGTCACACGCGCCCTGAGTAAAGAAAGCCTGATCCACATTTCCCATCCAAAGGCATGGGCCAGAATACATCAAGAAGCCCAGGCAAGGTGCACACTGGAGCCTAGACTTGCTCATGCCCATGTTTTCAGTCTGGTGCTCTCCGGGAGTGAGACTGAGATACTCAGGAGGAGGGTGTTCTACTGTTGTCCCTGCAGGCAAGGGCCCCCTTCCAGCTGCTGCTCCCTTTGTAGCTTTAGAGGGGAGCTGCTGGCCTGCCCTCTTTTGCTATGACACCTGCTTCTGCTTCCAGTGACCTGTGTCCACCACCCCAGCCCAGATCCTTAGAGGAAGCCGCAGGGTGCCCAGGCAGTGGGATACCCTGTAACCAAGCAGCAGGGTATCCAGGGTTGTTTACCACCTCCTCTGTGCCAGCATCCTCCTCACCCGGCTGCTGCTATTAGTCACTAGAGAAGTGAGCATCCCGCTGACTCACCAGGCAGCATGGCCCAGGCAAGGAATTGGGGACCCCAACACTTGGCCCAGTGGAACCCATCTCTGGCTTCTGGGGAGATTTCCTAGGACATCACATCCCACTGGCCTTTGCTGCACAGCCACCCTCCCGGTCACCACCTTCCAGTTTCTTGGATGGAAGGAGAATCCTGGAGACAGTCTGTCTCAAAGTCGAGGTGCTTGAAGAATAGAGTGTGAACGCTTTGATGAGTGTGCACTGTCATGTCAAAAAGTGGAAACTGAGGCAGAAATGACCTTTGACCTCGGTAGAAGTCATCACCTACCATCTGGAGAAACTCTTCCCCCTCCTGGACCTTCTCCAGCTTCTCACCCTGTCACTCAAGCCACATCACTGGTGCTTTCCAGCTAAGCAGCTTACCCTGGATGCGATAATGAGCGAAAATGGGAAATGGTGGAATCTGGGAAGCTGTCGCCTCCCTTGACTTTTAGAACCAACTCTCAAAGCTTGGGGAACCAATATCTGCCTTGTTCTTTTTCCATGACCAGAAGCCCCCAACTCCTGCTAGCTTAGGAAAACAGTAAACCCAAGCCTGCCCTCGGCCACCCTCAAATGCACAGTCCCCTCTCTGTATTAGCTGTTTTGGGGAGCCAGGGGTTCAAAGGGTAGCACTTCCTTCACAACCCCATCCCTCAAGGAACTACGGATTCCCTTTCTATGCAGTAGAAAAAGCCTCAACTGTGGTTCACCTATCCCTAGGCTGCCATGTGATAGGGTGAGATCGGGGGGGGGGGGGGGGCAGTGAAGGAGCAAGACAAGAGCCCCCCATCCCCACCCCCTTCATCAAGAAGCAACCCATAGACCCCAAACCCAGCCCTGTTTGTACCTCTTGGCTGCTTCACTGAATGGGTGCTGCGTAGAACCAAAGTCCAGTTTCTGGAACTCTTGCCTCCTCCCCAGGTTGTGTACTACTCAGAAATGCAGAAGATCTTTGGAGACCTCACCCAGCAGCTTGACCAGCCAGGCCACTCAGATGAGCAGCGAGAGCGGGAAAACGAGGCCAAACTAAGTGAGCTCCGAGCCCTCTCCATCGTGGCTGATGACTGAGTCCTATAGCCTTTGCTCTTAGCAGGCATGGATCCGTGGACCTCCCAGTGGCCTGCCAGTTGGAGACAGGTGGCCACTATTCTACCTTGCCAGTCCTCCATTTCCTGGAGCCTGAAACTGGGAGCCTTGCAGGCTGCTGTTTCCCTCTGCCCAACACTAATAAGCAATGTAGAAAAACCCCAGGGGCCTTTTTACTTCCAGAACCGTCCAGAGTGTGCTATAGTGTCTGGCCAGCAGGAGCTTCAGCCTTTAGAAGGGTCTGGGCTTCCTGTGAACTTGGGGGCCTTAGCTCTGACTACCTCCAGAGGACCCTGCTCTAGGGAACCCACTACCCTTTCCTTCGTGACTCTTCAGACTGTTGGGTAAGACATAGTGCCATGGGGAGCAGAACTCTGGTCATTCTGCTGTGGTGGGCCCCTCATGCCAACATGGCCAGAGCTGGTCTCCTGCAGAGCCAGCTAAGGACAAGCCCCTAGTACACAGGCTTTGTCTCTAGCTCTCCGCTCTACCGAATATCACACGTTCTTTCACAGTCCTCAGAGCAAGGCTTATGTCTCACCTGTGTTGCTGGAATTTTATTTTCAAGTAAAGTTTCCCAGTAAAATGTTAGTGTGTGCTGTAGCCAGTGCCATGGGGGTCGCCACAACTTTGCCAAAGCATGGCAGGGGGCCTTCACTCAATCACAACCTGTGGCAGCTCACTGCCTGCCTGCCTTCTGGATCCTTCTGGAGCCTTCTGGAGAGAACTGAGGATTGGCAAGCAGAGAGAGCACTGGCAGCTTGGAAAAAGAGGAGCGCTACAAGGACACACTGGTTTGTTTTTGACTTTGGTTTATTTAAAAAACAAAAAGCCAAAAAAAACCAACAAACAAACAACTTTATATACAAAGTCAAACTGAAACCACGGATTATGGAAAGAGGCAAGAATTATGGGAAACGGAAGAGGGCTGGGCCAGAGCCAATACCACATTCTGAACACAAGAGCTAGAGAAAGAAGTGCTGGTTCTTCTGGCAAGTTGGGAGGTGGCTGGAACACAGTGTTCTGTTGGCAACCTTGACCCAACTCCAAGTGTTTCCTCGCATGGGCTCCATCACCTAACGGACACCGGAGCCTACGGGACTCGTGCCCTCTAGAGGAAGGTACATTTTTTGGCTGTGCCAGTTCTACACCCGTTCCTTCCATTTATTGGCATCAAACCTTATTCCGGGCTGGAAAAGCCTTTTTCTCCTGTCTTGCTCTAAAGTGGACGAGGACAGGAGAAAGCACAAGACTACAAGGACCCTGGGAGAAATTCCAAGGTTGAGGGCAGAATGACATTCTAGGGGTGCAAAAGATGTTGTATTTAGTTGTAGCTGGAACTGGGGTTCCTTACACATCCATCCACGTAGCACAAACCCCATTCTGATAGCTTGATCACCCCTGCAGAGGCTGAGCACAGAACTCAGCCACCTCTGCTGCGACTCCCAGGCCCTGCTCCAGCTGCTTTCTGGTACCAAAAAGGCTCTAATGTCATCAGGCTCCGTTGTAGACCTCACTAGACAGCCACTCAGTTGCTAGGTGCTGGCTCCTCCTTCTCTACCCAGCTGTCAGCCTGTGTGAGCACATGGAACACTGGTGAGGATGAGGCTTCTCCCTGTGTCCTGCCGCTAGCATACAGAGCACTGGGAGCAGGCAGGAGTCTAAGATCCCAGCGAACAGAGGACCAGCATGGCAAGGACCAGCATCCCAAGCCTCTCCACACACACAGAGCCTAGCTCTGCTCTGCACCAAAAGAAACTATGGCCACCCTTCACCCATCCTACCTTTTCAACTATCCGCTGCATCTCCAGGTGCAGTGGGGTCAGGCGCCTACGGAAGTCCTGCAGCTGCCGCTGAAGCTGGTTCTTCTGTCGTTCCGCCGTCCGGGCTGTCTCCTCCGCCTCCACTAGCCGGGTCCGCAACTCCTGCATCTCTGCTGCTAGTGTCTTATTTGTCACTTCGGTGGCTGAGAAACGGTTATGGCTCTCCTCTGAAAGATCGGTGAGGACATAGCAGAAAGGCTCTGTTCAGTCAATTGGCGCATGAAACCGAAGCCCCAGGTCTCAGGAGTGGTGTCCCCTTAGTCCCTGTCACATCTGTCCTGCACTCACCAAGCTTCAGTTCCAGTGTGTGAATCTTGTTCTCCAGGTAAAGGCGGCCGCTGTCTTGCTGCTCTGCACGCTGTAACAGGCTCCCCACATTGATGAGGCTACCGTTGTGAGGCACCAGGCCTTTGTGCTCTGTGGGGGCAGCACCTGGCTTTGTGCTCTTCCCTGAAGGGGGCAGTAGATCCAGGTTTCCTAGAGGAACATACGTGGTCTTAGGAGAAGAGAGTAGCCCACCATGGAAGCCCCACTCCCTTAGACCACAGAGCTCAAGACCTACCAAAGAGCACCTCTTCTGGAAGCCCGTCGTCCAGCACCTCGGCACGGCTGTACTGAAGACTCCGGTACTGGCAGATGTTCTGTGTCGCCACCCGACTGACCAGCTGCTTAGCCTACAGAAAACAGCAGGATACCTGCTGGCCACACACCTGCCTCGGGGGAGCAGAAGGAAGCAAGAGCTCTGGAAAGGCCCTCCAGAAGGACAGCAGGGACAGAAACTACCTGCTCAGCACTGAGCCGGATTCCCAGTGTGAGGAGGACCCGCTCCAGGTCTCGCCGGTGCAAGTAGCCACACCAGTTGGCATCAAAAAACACAAAAGCCAGAAGGCAGTCCAGGGGAAGCACGGCTGAGGGATCCAGCTCCTTAGGCTGCAAAGAAAGCAGAGAAATGGGCTTTACAGATAGTTCTCAAGGCTAAAGGACACAGTGCATTCAGCCTGTCACAGCCAGGGGCTGGGCTGACAGCAACAGGTCGCCCTCATAACTGGGGACTTGGGCTGGGGCTCCAGGCTTCTGTGGGCACATTCCCAGAAGAACATGCTATGTTCCCTAATCAGATCTCTCTCTGATCCACCCTTCCAGGGAGAGTGAAGGATTCTCCGTGAGTCAGGACCCACAGTTGGTCTCTTGTCTAGGGAAGAGGTCACTGGTGGGCATACCTCACCCAGGAAGGGCCAAACTTCCCACCACAAGGCACAGAAGGAGATAGGGTCTCACCATGTCCTGAAGAGAGGAGTATTCCATCTCAGACTGGTTTGAGGCCACCGAGCGAACCTCCGTTTCCTCCAGCTTTGCTCCTGCTACAGAAACCCGAAGCTCAACATGTGGCAAGGATGGTGGTGCACACACCTAAGACAGTGATTCTCAACCTGGGGTCACAACCCCTCTGGGAACCAATGACGCTTTCACAGGGGTCGCCTAAGACCATTGGAAACACGGATATTTATGATTCATAACAGTAGCAAAATTAGTTATGAAGTAGTAATGAAAATAATTTTATAGTTGGGGGTCACCACAACATGAGGAACCACATTAAAGGACCACAGCATTAGGAAGGTTGAGAACCACTGCCTAAGAGGAAAACTACCACAGCCAGTCCCAGAGAGCCACTACTCCCAGACACACCAAACTCCTCCTCTCCATCATCCCTGAGAAGCAGCAGGTCTGGGTCCAAAGCCATCTCACAGAGGTCCTCAGCTGCCTCGCCCCTGGGCTTCTCCTCTTCTTCTCCCCCTGAAGAGGGCCGTTTGGGCAGAAGGCCATCCTCCTTCTAAAGAAGCAGACCAAGGTGGTGAGGAGGTGCAGGACTCTTGTGACGCTAACAACAGTTGCTGACACTCAGACATCAGCTGTGTACTGGGCACTGTGTGGTCCACCATGTGCTCACGGGTATTTAATAATACCCGGATTCAGATCACAGCGGCACATCTAGACTCCTGGGGTAGTTCTCAGAAGTCACTCTTGGTTCTGGAAGCAATTATGTGTATATGACAATATTTGGACAAGAAGCCAAGCTACATTTTAGAAATGGTTGAAGACCAGTTTGTCCACTTATAAACCATCAGGCAATCCCAACTCTTAAGCAGTCTGACTGGCAGTTCTATGCTGCCATGGCTTATCAGTCACACTTCCCTCCCTCTTCTTGGCCATGTCCCTCACTCTGAGTATACACCACTTCCTAGCTATATGGCCACATGCAGGGTTTCACCTTCCTGGGCCTCTGCCCATCCCCAGCTTTCAAAGAATGGGTAACATAAAGAAACGATGCAACTGGACACACAAAGTGCCCAGAACAATGCCTGACCCACATGAGGGACTCGAATCATAAGCATTCTGTGTGAACGTCAGGCCACCCAGGGCTGAGAACAGTACTCACCAGTGTGTTGTCTGACTCGGCGGCTGTGCCCTCATTCTGTACCTCATCCTTGGACACCTTCACCTCCTCCTCTTTGACAGCCTCCTCCTCCTTGACCACATCCTCCTTGGCTGCCTCCTCCTTCTCAGGTTCAGGAGGAGATACAACTTTTTCTGGAAGGCTCAGCAGCGTCTTATAAATCCTATAGCCAAAATCCCTCTGCAGCATCTCTACAAATAGCTCAGCCAGCACCACTACCTGTCGGAAGAGGTGCAGGGACCATGGCATCAGGCAAGAGGACGAAGACACCGTTATCCCATCTTCATACTCGTGGCCTCTCCTGCACTTGCCTCGAAAGAGATCCTTTCTTTCAGCCTCCGCTCCTCCACAATCCCGTAGAGAGACAGGTTGACACAGCCAGGGCGTGCCATCACAGCAGGTTCTAGAGGAGGCGGAGGGGCCTCTGGGAGGTCAGTGTCCACATCTTGCTGTGTGGTGGCCTCCGAAGTCTCCGCGTTCTGTTTAGAACTGTCTGCTTGCTCCAACACATCAGGGGCCTGTTCGGTAGACTCTGCTTCCTATGACAATAGCTCAGGTGACCTTCTGGGCCCTAAGGTCAGGGTACCTACTTTTGAGATAGGGGCTCATATAGCCTAGGTTAACCTCAAATTCACTATGAAGTTGAGAACAACTTTGAACTCTGGATCTTCCTCTGCTTCCCAGTGCTTTACAGCTTGTGCCACCATGCCCAGCTTCCCTGTATTTCCCTAAGGCCCAGCCTTACCCCTGCCTCCTGGGGTTGGGGCGCTGTCTCTGTGGCTTTCTGCTGGCACAGTGCCTCCCACTCCTCCAAAGTGGGCATGATGGTCCACACGTCTGGCAGGTATACCACTACTGTGTGTAAACGCCGGGGCGGCCCTGGCTGTAAATACTGAAACTCGGCAAATCGCCACCTGTTCAGAGCCAAAGAAAAAGGAAGTCCCCAACTGTGACATAATCATGGGTGTACCACTCACAGACAAGTACCCTGTTTCCAGTCAGCATTCCATGCGCACATGCTGCACGCCAAGCCGTGAGCACAAACAGAAAGCCACACACCAAAGCCGCAGTGGTTAGGCAACAGGGAGACACAGTAAACAAACAGCACAGAGGAGCACTGGGGCATTCGCGAGTATTGGGCGTGGCCTGGGGGTCAGCTGCCACCGCTCTCAGACATGGGTTCTCAGTCACCTCTAAGCAGTTAGGGGTGGGCAGACGTCAGCTGTGGCAGGAAAGAACCCAGAAGCCAGACTCCTGACACCCCACAGCGAGCTGGCCACACGGGGAAGGCCACTCACCACTTGGTGCAGGTG